GGTGGGCGATAAAGTGTGGCTAGACCTGCGGAACATTAAAACACCTCAACTATCAAAAAAGTTGGCCTGGGTTCATGCCAAATATGAAGTCACAGCAGTACCTGACCCACTGACGGTCGAATTGAACGTCCCTGGAAAGATACACAAGTGCTTCCATGTCGAATTAGTCAAGCGCGCAGGTAATGATCCACTGCCCAGCCAGGTTAGAGACGACGCCCAAAACCCACCATTGATCGATGACCTTGAAGGTCCAGAATATGAAGTGGAATCTATCCTACGAGCGCGATCTATCCGTCGCGGTAGAGGAAACTTTCGTCAGGCTTTGGTAAAGTGGACAGGCTGGGCCGAGCCAACTTGGGAGCCGATTGAAAGCATTAGGGAAACGCAAGCACTCGACAGGTTCGAGGCTACTTACGGTAATATAGAGATAAATAATGGTCCTGAAAACGATAGCTCTGGAGGATTCGTAGGCCCTGCGGAGGGTCATATATTGGATAAACGGCGTCAAAAACGCCATGGCAAAAACAAACAAAAAAAATTTTAAAAGATAAATAAAAAAAAAAAAATACAAGAACCTCCCAATCTATTTCCTAAAAATTTTTGGAGGAGAGCTTGTGACGGCTTGTAAGCCGGTAATTGCCTGTAGCCTGCGCTGTCAAACGCAGGCTTAGCATGAAACTAGGCAGGGACTATTCTTGGAAGCGGGGTCTTATAACTTGGCAAACACCTCTAAGAATGGGGCACGAGAAGGGATACGAGATGGGATGCGAGATGGGATACGGATATACGGATAGAAAACTGTGTCATTCGCCTGGCTAATAATCATGTATAAAGTAACTGTTATTATCCTCTTCAATCTATAGTTCACCATAGATTGAAAATAAACTACCTCTGACCATAAGGTTGCTCAAGTGCCTATGCTTAGACTGTGACACGAATGAAGACCTGTAGGGGTATTACTGCTGGAAAGAAGTCGTGAAGAAGGCATGGGAAGAAGTAAACAAACCAAGGCATATAAACTCCTTGCCTGTAGGCAGAAAGAACCTTCATGTCCTAACATACTCATAGACTCATTGGGACAATAAACACTCGCCCACTTATTGAAACTAAGAATAAAAAGGCCCTATCTATATACAGGAGTTCGTCCCCTTGTTCGTCCATATGTTATTGTCTATGATAGCTAGAGTAACTACAACGGTTTTCTCGTCGTAGTAAAGACGTTGATGTCAGTTTGTAGCAAACTGGAGGCAATAGTGATCAGACTTTAAGGGGTTAACTTAGCAGGTGCATGGTTATCCCCCGACGGTGTGTGCAGTTATGGACTCAGATTTAGACAACCAGGAAAGGGAATGAGTAAGGAGACTCATAGAGTAGACTGAATGTTATAGAGACCTTGTAGCTGTTGTTAGATTTCTTTTCTTCATAGAATTTATTAAATCGATCTATTCATCACCAACTCGGTTTCTGACATATTTGCTGGACATCACGAATCATTGCTAGATGCTGTTTGTTCCACGATTAGGATTTCTGGATGTCGCAGGCAGTACCGAGAATCCGATTGGTGAGGTCCCCCACAGATGCGATATTGTGTAAGGGCTTTGCACTCTTTTACCTGGTGCACTTTAGATCCAAAGTTCCAGCAAGCAGGAGCAGCGACAAATGGCGTGGAAGCCTAGACAGTGTTTACATCGTTTGATTTGTCGACGAGGCGAAATCCCGGTCGAGGCGTGGACTAGCCGAAGAAAAGAGTTTGCCAGCTCTGGTAAGACGTCCTAAGTTTGCAAGTCCCAAGAGTACGAAGCAGAAAGTGAAAAAATGAAGTCACTCGAGTAACTCCATTGGCGATCATTTATGAAGTCGTGGCAATGGGGTCTGCAATATTTTGAATTGTGACCAGGACGGTGTCAATTGCAAACAGGAGCTTGCCTCATTTATTACCGGCCATCTCTCACTACGAATGTACGACGCTACGTATACCCGTAAGGAGGAAATCAAGTCATAACATACAAAGTTGGGGTTTTGGTTTATGGGTGACTGATACTCTAATAGTGTTATATATCTTGAGGATGTACAGGCAATTAGGGCATGGAGAGAGATAAGGAAGAGTGTTAAAAATTGTCAAGGATTTCGGGGAGGAAATATCTCGAAGAACAAGTGAACAATTTCGGACAAGAGTTTATTGATAGTTGTATATGATATCGAGGGAGGGCAAGACTGAACACCTGTACGCGGTGTCCCCTACGAACCTGGGAGTGAAATATTCTCCCAGAGCCAAGTTCAGTCAAATTTCGCAATATCAAAGAAGTTGGCCCACGAGGCAAAAATCCAAATTACTCCTCCACGTCGTCATTTCGCTCCCAACGAGTGTGACTCCTGTCTTTGTCTCATCGAGTATACAAGTACGACCAAGTAAATCCTCATTCCAATGACCATACCACTCTTCGACCTTCTCTGGCCTCAGCTGGTCACCAAATACACGCCCACGCCGATATTTATACCCGACGGAGGAACAAAGCGTGGCGCACAAATCTGGGAGACAGTTCTTTGGGATGGACGTGAGAGGAATCAGGACAAGTTTACAAGATGATGCGGAGGAAGGATATAACCTCGAAGGGCGTGAGATTCCGAATTTTGGCAAGGAGTTTTTCGAATTGAGCTTTGTGCGCACCAAGACTTCGCTTGCGAGAGTGCAGCTGACACTATAAAAACAAGCCGACGATGGAAGGTGTTGTGAGCCGCCTCCTGGTGATGTTCTCTGGTATAGTCTGAGTAGCCTGGGCACCTACTCCACTTGGGAAGGAGACATCTCAGATTACATTTCGCGCGGAGAGAAGTTGAATCATGATGGAGGCATGTCTGGATAACTCAGGGTTTTTGAGACGTTCCCCTGGGTGGGTATTCACGGATGAGGGTTGACTTGGGGTGAAGAAAAAGCCGCCATAACTTCGCAGTGGTACTTGCAAATGAAATCTGAGGCATGAGTGCTCTTCCCTTACGTTGAATCATTTATTCTGTACTTTTCTTTGAAATTGTGTCATAGCTAGATAGCTGCATACGCAATTAAAATCTGATGCAAAAAAATATGATATCGAACTCGCATCTCAATATGAATTAATATCACGTAATATTACGTTAAATTGGGTTGACACAAACTAGTAAGTCTATCATTAAATACAGATCCCCGAGGCTTTAGTGATTCCAAACTCCCAGTGATCTAGCAAGGACCAGCCACTCAATTATCGCAAGGCAGCATTTCCTAGCCACGGCACTCCAGATAATACTGAAGCTTATTTCGCCCAACAGAGCTTAATCATATTCAATCGAATCAACTCAATTAATATTGATGATCATACCTAGAATTCTGAACGTTCCTTTTTTTGCATCAGATTTGAATTGCGTATGCAGCTATCTAGCTATGGCACAATTTCAAAGAAAAGTACAGAATAAATGATTCAACGTAAGGGAAGAGCATTCACGCCTCGGATTTCATTTGCAAGTACCACTGCAAAGTTATGGCGGCTTTTTCTTCACCCCAAGTCAACCCTCATCCATGAATACTCATGCAGGGGAGAGGATAAAAAACCTGAGTTATCCAGACATGCCTCCATCATTGGCTTTTTTTTTAATCATTTAATGTGTATTCAGTTATCTAGCTATGACACATGACCGGTGCTATGTATACATATTGGGTTACTCTTTTGACGTTAGAGACACTCAAGCTCTGAATTTCATTCGCAAATACCACTATGAGGTATGTTCGCTTACACAAACAGTCGACGCTCCTCCGTAAGTACCCACCAGAGGGGATTTTAAACCCTCTGGTTATCAAAGCATGCCTTCGTCATCCATGCATACCAGCGCCGCCAGAAATGTGGTTGTGTTTTGCCGGATTCGAGACAGCGATCTACTGTCCCAAGTGGGATATGTGTCCAAGCTATCCAGAATCTACTTGGCAGACCGCCCAAGACGATGCACCTCCGCACCATCCAACCATGGCGGTGTTTATGGTGTCGTCTATACTCTCGCAACTAAAGCCTTGGCACTCACAAAGCTCAATTCGTAAAACCTACTAAATAATTTCGAAATTTAACACCCGTCGTGATTGTATCCATCATCCGTGTCATCTTGTTAGCTTGTCCTAAATCCTCTCACGTCCATCCCAAAGAACAGCCTCCCAGATTTATGCGCCACGCTTTGCTTCCTTCATCGGGTGTGAATATCGGCGTGGGCGTGTATCTGGCGACCAGCGAATTGAAATTAGTTCCGGAGATTGGAAGAATTACACACTAGCCTCGAGTTTGATTAAGAGATACGATAAATGTGTTTCCTATACGAAGAAGTTTACTGATGTTTAATGGATAGTTAATTGTGATTAAATTGCTGTAATTCTATATGTGCGGCGAGAAGTCCCTTTATATACATGAAAGCGGGGTTTTCCGCACACTAGTGTGAATTCCAACATACTTCCTAATCTAACCTAAACGGGAAGGTTGTTGGAGATCCTGAAGCCAATGTATGCTGTCAGGCATCTATTGGCTAACTACTATTCATGCCAGTGAGTGATGATATGGGTTAATCATATCTCATGGCGCCAGTGCATATTATTCTAAAAGTACTATTTGTTTACTGCAGTCATGTTGCTGCCTTAATTACAACACAGCGAAGGCCAGAGAAAGTCGACAAGAGTTGTGGTCCTTGGAATGAGGTTGTACTTGTAGACTTGATGAGGCTTAGATAGGAATCGGTCTCGTTGTGAGCGAAAAATTGATGTGGTGGAGTATTTGGAATCATTGCCTCATGGGCCAACTTGTTCGGTATTGCGAAATTTGACTGAACTTGACTCTGAGGGACTATTTCACTCCCAGCTTAGTAGAGGACACCACTTACAGGTGTTCAGTCTTGCCCTGCGAATACAACAATCTATACGTGTGTAGAGCTTGAGACTAGGTATAAAATTGTCTATCTATCAACGTTCTAACTACTCCTTAAATATATGAAATTCACTTTACTCCAGATAATGTAACGATCAATAATACGTGGCAAGGTAAACTATCAGAATACGGTAGGGGAGGAGTGAGGCGATTAGCCGCCCGGATTGTGACCAAAGGATGCGAGAGGAGCATTCTTGATGGGACCTTAAAACTCGGCGACTCGCTTGGACTCGGATCTTGGCGTTCAGAATCCTCAGCGCTAGCTGATCGAATTGAATTGAAATGTTTTAGAGTCCTAAGCTATGCTTATATCTCCTAGGAGTCAAAGACGCGTGTACACGGCCGAGATCATGCTTTCCGCATGCCCACCTTGGTTTCACCGCGTGAACCACTACACAGCCAGTAGCTAGTTAAAAGGAAGAAAAGTAGAAACTCCCGTAAACTCCCTTAACTAAAGTTCTAAGCCCAGTAATCCAGTTTTTGGTTAGAAAAATGACACTTCTCGTCTCGTTTTCCTACCTGCCATGCATTGTGCTACGACTAGTTACCACCGTCTCCGCTGAGAGCTGGAGACGGATCCGTAGGTGGGCCCCCGAAGCAGCCGGTTTCCTGCGCAAAATATGTAAAGTTCTCGAGGCACCCAGGCCCGAGAAGCTTGTGGACAAAGTCGTGATGTGACATTGTACCTCGTAGTCGACGCGTCTGGCGTGCGTGCAGTCGACAGTGAATGAAGTGGAGAGGCGTTGTTTCCTCTCCACACGCACACTCCATGGAAGCGGCGAAGTTGTTGAAACGACGATGGCATGCAGCGAAGTTTCCGTGGCCCGTACGGGCTGAGATTAGTTCACGGAGTAGCCGCCGGGAAAGTGCCTGCTCGCGTGGCATGCGTCGTCGCATGAGAAGACCTCGATTTCGATACTGTGACGGAAACCGAGTTGGTGATGAATAAATCGATTTAATAAACTATATCACGAGAAAAGCTAACTCTAGCTACTACTAACAGGTATTTATAGGAGTTAATCCCCCTCATGAATCTATAGATTTCTTACCCAGCCACGTATTTCCAGGTGTCACTTAGTTGTAATAACGCTTCAGCCTTCTGAGAAGCAGTGCCGTTTCGTTCAGCTTCATCTCCCCCCAATACAGCCTCTTCGTAAGAATTCTTAGTATCAGGCTTAGTTGTCCACCTAAGCTCAAACAAAGGTCAAAACGTAACAGATACCTAGGTGGACCTACTTCTTCCCACCAGTCGTCGAGAAGCGCTTGACGTTTCCGGTTCATGAGCCGACGAACGTACGCCATTGTGACGGAGCCAGGCTGGCTGTCTTTGCTTGGCAGTTGTCGGAGGCTGGAGCGTGCAGCTCTGTCTGCATCTTCGTTTCCATGTATCCCGGAGTGGGCCGGTATCCACTTCACCAAGACTAGAGCCTTTTTTGATAGCGCCCTAAATTGGCGTACGTCGTCTAACCTTTTTGTGGCAATTCCCGTCAACAGTGCCTTCACTGTAGACTGACTATCTGTCAATACATAGATCTGCTGCCTTCCGTCCCTTCCCGCGTTCACCATCTCCAACAATCCCAGCGCAGCCTCCAGGGCCTTCCTCGCCCCTATTATTTCCGCATCAAGCAATACACCACCATGCTTGACGCCGCATCACTTCAACAGAGTTTTTCCATCCCTCTTCAAGACGAGCCCCCATGCTGAGCGACCATTCCCCTCCGACGATCCATCTGGGTAGGCGCAAATATCTGATGCCGGTACACTATCGATGAACCGAGCTGCCTTCTCTTCCTCCTCTAATCTTGAGCCGAAACCCAAAAGATAGCATGGCGGCGATAAAGGCTCGGCATTTTCTGCGTCCGGGAGCTGTCGGTAAGCCCGGTGGACTCGTGACATCTGGAACTCTGGATTTTCATAGATCCGAGCATATTTCTTGTACTTCCGTGTTCCATCGTTTGGACACACAGCAGCACGGGTCCGGAGTGGGTGGCGATTGTCTAGTGAGTGTAGCCGAGCCGAAAACCATAAGCGGTTCCCTTCCAGAATGATCTTTCCAGTTGGGATACCTCCTTCGCGATGGAGAACAAGATTAGATGTCGTTCTCATAACCGGAAGGGCAGCGCGCAGCCCTGTTAAGATTGCCTTATCGATCATCTCGCAGAAAATGCTAGTCCGAGGTATGATGATTCCCCTTTTGGTAGGACGTTTGAGGCCGTGCCACCAAACATCTGATCCAAAAGTTGCTATTGGGACAATACAAGTATCCACCGCTCGAACCAGTGCCGCGGGGGCGGCTCCTCGATACGCTGAATTGAAGCGTCGCATGTGCTGAGCAACCTTCAGAGCTTCGCCGCACCACGTCACAACGTGGTGTTTGAAGTCCAGTTGCGGGTCTAGGTATACTACCAGCCAGCGTATTTGGTCTGATGGCTCAATAACCATGCCGTTCACACAAATGCCCACTGGCTTCTAGCGTTTTCGTCCGGGAAACTGGACTACCTCCGACTTGTTAGTATCGAAGTACACTGCGTTAGTACTTGCCCAATCCAGAAGATGGTCCACTTCCTTCTGTACAGAAGCGGCTGACTCGGCAATGCTGCGCCCGAATCCTAGGATCCCAACGTCGTCTGCGTAGCTGAACCTCATTCCTTCATTGCCACTTCGCATGGGCTCTGCCATGTACATAAGGAAGAGCAGCGGCGATATCGACAATCCCTGTGGAACCCCACATACTAGCTCTCTTTGTCCGGTTACCCTTCCTGAGTATCGAACTTGCACCTTTCGTTGTGCAAGAAATGACGTTGTCCATCTGAGAATTGAGTGAGGCCACCCCTGCTCTTACATCCTTCTCACCAAACGATTGTGAAGTACTGCATCGAACGCGCCTTGGACATCCAGAGTCGTAAATGTGGCCGCCCATCCCTGGGTACTTGCCTCTTCAATGTCGTGGACTACGCAGCTGACAAGGTTGTTTGCCGATCTTTTAGGAAGCGCCCCAAATTGTCGGTATCCGACAATGTCGAACGTAATCGCGAGATGGGCCATCCGCTTCGCCAAGAGTCGTTCCAGTCCCTTACCCAAACATGACAAGAGGGCAATTGGTCTCCAGCCCTTAACCGTCATTGGATCTCGGTTCGACTTGCGTAGGAGCACCACTTCAGCCAGCTTGAAGCAGGATGGGTGGGTGCCAAGCCTGTTGCAGGCGCGGAAGAGAGTGCCAACAAATGGTCCAATCGTCTTCCAACAACTTCGCAGAAGCTCTACAGAGATCCCATCAGCTCCAGGCGCTGTATTGCCGCAGCCTATGGTGCACATGCGGATCTCCACGTCCGAGACATGGTCGTTCCAGGGAATTCGGTTATTGCTCGGCGCATCGAGTGGCGGTAAATTGTCCGTCGCTTGGTGCCGTGCCAGAAGAGCGTCTCGGAGTACCGCTGCCCGCTCGGCTGGGTTGGAGTACATCTTTCCTTCGTAGTTCAGCGGAGAGGGGATAATTGCTTGCCTTGGTTCGGCCGAACGCATCAGCTTGAACACATCAGTTGGTGTCGTGATTGCTTCGACTTGACGCGTCTGGTACTCTTTCCTTGCCACTCTGAGGGTTGAGCGCAGCTTCTTCGCATGTATCCATCGCTGTTCCGGAGTCATTGCTGCACGATATTCCGTGTGAGCTAGCTTGCATTCTGGAGTCCACCAAGGCGCGAATTTGCCGTGTCTTTTGTTCTTTCGTTTTCCTGTTGCTCTGATAGCATTAGTAAGGCCGGAACAGAGATTGTTGGCGTATTCGTTCGCCTTGCAAACCGTGTCCAGGGCTGTTGGCGGGTGTGTAAACTGCGTTACAGCAAGGGCGAATCTCGGCAAATTGCTACGCGTTACCCTGATTTGTGAAGGCTCCTGGTCCCTTTTTCCGGATCCGGTGGGGACTCGCCTTCGAATCGGAAGATGGTCGCTGGTTACGCACTCATTGCGATCCACCCATGCTTGAGCTCCATTAATGTTGGTCCAATCAAGATCGAGCGTGTTCTCGGCTCGATGCGGTGGCTCGCCCACAATCAGACAAGGGAGATTGTGACGTTCCGCCCATCTCTCAATTTCGATTCCTTGTCCGCGTGGGCAGGTAAACTCTGGTTGCCACGCACAGTATACCGCGTTGACGTCACCAGCTGCGACGAAGCGTGGTGGTGGGTCTCAGTTGAGGAGAGGTCTAATCGCCGTTGGGTTGTTTGGGTCTTTATATACGTTGAGAAACGTGACTCTGTTTACCACGACCCGGCAGTAGTCTGCCGTCGGGGGATCATAAGGAAAGATTTGAGTTGCCGAGGGGATTCTACTGTTTATTAGCGTATAAGTCACTTCCCTGGGTCGAACGTTTACGCCGTCATGTGGTGTATGGAAGTCGTAACTAGGGTGTGACTTTGTCTCCTTTGTGGCTTTTTCCCACGAAGGCTTTTGCATTAGCACCACATCCACGCCTAGCTCATAAGCTTGGGAAAGCGCGATGTCGTGTGATGGGCCTCCCCTACCTATGTTGATCGATATAAAACTTATCGTAGGTAGGAGGCTAGAAGGGACCCGTGAGGGGCCCTTCAGGAGGACTCAACAGGATTCGTCGTTCCTGTGGCCGTAGCGTCGGGGGTGACGTCGGTCATCAGAACTTCGAACCTGTTGTTTGGTTTCACTGCTCCAGGTGAGGCTTCCGTCTGATTGGCGGCCGCTTGAGCTGCTGCCTCAGTGCGACGGACAGCGGCTTTTGTCCTCACTACTGCCGCTTGCTCGCGTTGACTAGCCATGCGGATGGTGGCCAGTTGCTCTCTGCTTACCGGCCCGGACTTGATGGGGCGCGCCAGGCAAGCTCGACTGTCGGACCTATGCGGTCCTCCGCAGCTGCGGCACTTGGTGTGCGCATGACACTCGTCCGTCAAGTGCATTGTGGAGGTGCATTTCCAGCAAGCTGGGGCACGGGAGCAGCCACGCGTTGCGTGGCTCTGCAGGCAGCGTTTGCATTGCTGCACAGTCTGTCGCGGTTGATGTCGTACCGCGACGCCCGAGTCGTCGAACAGGCGGAATCTTAGTCTTGGTTCCGCTCCCCTCTTGAAATGAGCGAGCCATGACTGGTATAGCGCGCCGGGTTGATTTTTTCCGTGAGGTCGAACTTTTGCTGGAACGGCCTTTGTAACCCTGGCGATCTCCTCGAT